GGGGACCCCGGGGGCGGGGCCCAGCTGCACAGGCAGGCACATTCCCACTCCCTACTCCCGGGCCAAACACCCCTTGGGCATTCTCTGCTGTGCTGCTGGGGACTGGGGGTGTTGCTGAGGTTCTGACTTGTCACTGAGGTTGTGGAACTTTTGTGGGGTGCAGTTGAACTCGGAGAGCCCAGAGCAAGGATGGGAGGGTCGTGGGCAATGGGGTCTCTGGACCTTCTGCAACTGCTCACCACGGTTCTGATCAACCTGTGCTTGATTTGCCAGTGTCTAAGGGTCCTTGGATTGTGGCCAAGGTTCTGGGATCCGGTGTGATACTGAAGTTCTGGGCGTTCATGGGGGTGATTCTGTGGTTCCAGGAGTTCTTGTGGTGTTACTAGAATTCTGAGGATATTACTGAGATTCTGGACATGCTCTGGAGGACCTGGGATTCCTTGGGGGTATTTCTGTGATTTGGGGGATGCTGCTGGCCCTCCCTATTCCCTCTGGCCCACTGTCAACTCCCTCTAAGCCTAGCACTTTGCCCTTTGAGGATTTTGATAGCCACAGGCTGCTGAAGGCACACATGTGGGCCTCTGTTCCTGGATACAAACATTCCTGAGATTTAATCAACTTGAACAAAAACATGGGGAGGAAGGAAGCCCTGTCGTCCCAAGGTCCCAAGGCCTTCGTGGGCCAGCTCCAGCCCTCGGGGCAGAGCAGGGCAGCCCTGTGCCAGGCCCAGGTAGCAGATGGCCCTTATCTTCCCAGAGTGCAGAAGCTTTTCGTGACCCCCTCCTACAGTGAACAGGGCTTAGCCACCCCCCAATCTGTGCCCAGCTGGGAGCTCTGGCCTGGGCTGCCCCTTAGGTATTTGCATCAGCCTTATCTGATTGTGCCCACATGGGCTTATGCAGGTCACAGCTAGGTGGCCCTGACCCCTGCCCTGTCTTCTTGCCTTCCAGACTCCCCTTCTCAGCTCTACTAAGACACCTCATTCTTACTCTCATTGCTGACCCTGTCTGACCTCAGGACCCTGCTCCAAGCCCCCTCCTCCAGGAAGCCTCCAAGACTGCCCAGGACATAGCCTTATTCCCCCTCCCTACCTCTCTTCTCTGAGCTTCTGCAGTCTGTCTCTGAAGTGCCTCCACTCTCCAGCCCCTTCTCTCCTGATGGCAAGTGCCAGTCTCTGACTCTTCTGGGTATGAGTCACCCTATAAAGCCAACTCTAGGGGCACCCGAGTGGCTCAGTTGGTCAAGCATCTGACTTCGGCTCATGTCGTGATCTCACAGTTCATGAATTCAAGCCCCGCATCGGGCTCTGCACTGACATCTCAGAGCCTACTCTGTCCCTCTCTCTTTCTCTCTCTGCCCCTCTCCCACTTGTGCTCTCTCTCTCAAAAATAAATAAACTTTTTTTTTTAAAGCCGATTCCAGTGGGTAGGCTGTGGACTCTGCCACCAGGACTTTGGAGAAATTCTTCAGGAGCACATCACTACCATCCTTCTCTTATTACATTTCCTGGCAAGCTTGCAGTCTGGTCAGGTGACATCTTTCCTAACATCTTGGAGCCAACCCTCCCATTTTACAGATGCAAGTGACAAGCTCTTCCAGCTCCAAGCCGAGGAGGTACTTTGGGCTCAAGGAGTGGGGGTCCCTCTCCCAGCCTGAGCCATGTGGCCACCCAGTAACCGTGGATCTTCGACCCGGTCTGCCTCCCTCTCTACCCCCACCAGAGTGAATGGAGAGGCTGGGGACCAGGAGGGTGGCTAGAAGACAACAGGGGACACTTGGGTAGTCACAGCCTCTGTGGCTTTGACCTTCTTGTTACAGCCAGTGCCTGGTGTGCTAGCTCCACATTCTTGGGCCATGAAGTCATTGAGAACAGTGAATAGTGGCCTTGGGGAGAGGAGAGCCCACAGTCAAAGAATCTCCAGGCTGGTAGCCCCACCCCTCCTGGGGCAGAGGCAGGGCTGAGACCCAGAGAGGCCAAGAGAACACTCAGGATCACACAGCCAGCCCCAGGGCTCAGGTAGGCTGCCTCCCCAACCAGGGCATTTCTCTTTGCTATATAGAAACTGTGTTCTTTCCTCCTGGGCCTGCTCCTGCCTGTTTCCAGCACGGCCCTGATCAAGGTACTGGGCACCAGGCTGCCTTCTGTCAGCTGTGCCCATACCCAAGGAGAGGGACAAAGCTCGCAACTTCCTCACCTCTGGTTAGGGCTTCCCTGAAGATGGCCTCTGCATCTCCCTGGTGAGGAGGGAGGTGATACCATGGGCACTGGAGTAGCCCTGATGGGGAGAGGCCACTGGAAGGCATTAACTGGAAGTCCCTTTTGGGGAGGGGGCAGGGTTTGGTTAGGGGAGAGGTACTGTGGGGGAGGGAGCAGGCCTGGGCTCTGCAGGGCCCCTCCCTGCCAGCGTGGCTGCAGCCCCCGAGGTTGAGAGACACTCCTTCAGGCAGCCTGGATGTCTTTCCATCCAGGTGCCCAGCTGGGTACCCCTCTCTTCCTCCAGGTCTCTGCTCCAATGTCACCTCCTCACCAGGGCTTTCCTGACCATCCAGCCTAACGCAGCCAACTCCTGTCTGTGTCTCCTCTCTTGTCCCAGTTTATTTTCCCTCTCAGCACTCATGACACGGCCGTCTCGCCACTGCCCCGGGACACGTTGGCTTCCCTGTCTCGCTCATTGCTACATCCTCAGTCTGTAGAACCTTCCCCGGTGCATAAGCAGCATGCAATCCACCTTTGTTGGCTGAATGAATGGATGAACAAACCAGACTGGGGAGGCTTCCTCCAGGGAAGGAAACAGTCTCTGACAGGCAAGATGGTCCAGTTATGAACATAGAGGGAATGAGCTCCCCATCACAGACTGGACTCCAATTGTTGGAGGTATCATGATGGGGATTTAAGATCAGATGGGACTTAGTTGATCTCTAAGCTGGGGGTCCAAAACTCCTCAGCAGTGAAGGGAGTGCGGGGCTCTGGTGTTGGAGTAGAGAGTTCTGCGAAACCTAGCTGGAGAAATAGTGGCCCGCACCGGACAGGCCCCTGGGGGAGTGACGGTCACTAGAGCAAGCCATGGCTTTGCAAACCCAGTTTATAAACGCATTGTCACCGGAGAGCCCCATACTGTGCATCAGCAGAATGAGGGAGCAGGAAGCAACTGAGGCAGGGCTCTGCCCCCAGGACGTCACAGTCAGGCCTGGGAGGCTGGATTCACCCCAGGTTCCTGGGATCAGACAGGAAGTGTGGGCTCCCTCATCGCATCACACAAAGCGCCGACTCTGTTCTGCGTCAGCTGACACTGACAACTCTGTGGGGTGGGGCGGGAGTTCTGAGCCGCCTTCCTGGAAGAGGGGCCATTTGGGAAGGAGGGGGAGCAACCGAGGCTGACAGAGAACTCGGGCCCTAATCCTGAAAAGCCTTGTGGGCCTGGCTATTAAATTTACATGGGGAGCTTTTAGGATTTCAAGCTCTGTCTCCTCTGAGCCTCCCCCAGGGCTGTTCACTCTATCAGGAACACACTTCCTTCTACCCCCACTCCCACCCTCAAGACCCCCACCCTCCGCTCACTGGTTTTTCCTTGCCCTCAGATCTCCACAGAAAGGTTTTTTTTTTTTTCAGGAATCCTCCACTTTTCCGGACCAAATTCAGTTTCCTCTGGTACGCATCAGAGCATTCTGTACCTTCCCTTTGTAGACAGGAAGACTCAGACTCCAGGTTATTTACCCGCTTGTCCCCCACACACTGTAAACTCTCACATCCCAGGGCCCAGAATAGTGCCTCCACTTAGTCATTGTTCAATGAATTTATGTTAAAAGAATAAATGAGGGGTGCCTGAGTGGCTCAGTTGGTTAAGCGATCGACTTTGGCTCAGGTCACGATCTCTCGGTTTGTGAGTTCGAGCCCCGCGTTGGGCTCTGTGC